CGAACATGAATCTCCCCACGGTCGTTCGCCGCGCTGTTATACGATGAAGATATAAAAGGTAATTGCGTTCGGCTTTAGCTATTCTTTAACGCTAATGCTAATTCCCTTACACCGTTACCACGTTCCCGTTAACGCCGCGAATTAGAAGCACAATGTAGCCATGAGCCGCGAACATCGTTGCAACTTAGCCGACCGATAAAACGGTACCGGTTGGAAAAACCGCCGCGATATCTCTGGCTACTGGCAATTAGTCGGCCGTATAAATTCCTCATCTCGGCCCATAATCTCAGGCGATTATTAAAAGTCGGTATCTCGAGCGATCTCTGGCCGAACACAAGGGAATCCTCATTCGAGCCTATAACGCATGCGCGCCGCGCAATTTGTAGTAATACCGGTAGTCGCGAGCAGCTGTGCGAGTTATCTAGCCGGCGATCCAAAGGAGAACCGAGCAGTTTAACAACGCGGTTGATCGACTTGGAAAAGCCAGGCGAGCCTGATAAATCCTGGTAAAACATGGCAGAGCTTAGCCAAGATCGGCGAAGGTCGGCAAAGATAAGAGGAGATTGGCAAAAAGATGGAGAGAACGGAAGTGGAATCGAAGCGTGCCAGCTACCGATCAGCGTCACAATCGAGCGAGCAGCGCGACCAGCGAATCGCCCAAGGATGATACTGTCTGATCTCCTTATTAACAAGCGCACTAAATGCCTGCACGGTGTCATTACTGTCAAAGTTATCGTATTTTCCGTAACGCAGCAAGACGGTATCCGGAGTGGCGCTACCAGGATTATTGGTGTCATCGTTGTAATTATCAAAGGAGTGTCACCCGGACAAATACATTCTTGGTTGCGAGACGAATCGAAAGAAAGTCAGTGGCTAGTAAGCTGGCTCGCTGGCTGGCTCGTTCGCTTCTTCTGTCGATCGTTCGCTAGGCAGATCGGCTTCAATTATTCAAATAAGCGTAGATGAGAGAGTCGATAGCCTTGGCGGATGCACGGCTGGGAGCTACTAGGCTCGAGGAAGCGTCATGCCGCGGGTGCAACCCATAATTCCTAGACGATCTTCCCTCGAGCCGACGCCTCAAAACACGCGCGTCCCTCTTTCTCCTTCTGCCTCCTTCCTTTTGGATAGTTGCGGATGGTTGGACTCTCGGTACAAGGTAACAACTGCTGCTGCCGTTGGTGCTTCTGCTGCCGCGGATACGGGAGTCAAATGTACTTTTCTCGAGTCAACGTGCGAGGAAAGCGAGGCGAACCTGACTGGCTGTCTTAACGACGCTAGCTTCCATGGAACAACAGGCCGAGTCGACCAAGTGTCGAGGGAATAATTATGTTCCCGCGTAAACGAGGATTAACGACACGATTGTTCTTTACTGTTGTAACCAGCTAGGCGTGTATCGGTAGGTAGCAAGCGCAATGGCGGGAACATCGACAAACAGCTTACACGGTTGCTCTCGCTCGTGGTCGATTGACGTCGAGCGTCCCTGAAGAATGTTCATCACGCTCGCGAGCCACGGAGGTAATGACAACTTTCTTTTTTCCTGTCTGTTACAGCCAGGAGCCGTACGCGCGTCAAGCTGTCTCCGCTTTTTTTCCTCTTTCTTCAATGGGCCAGCTGGAATGCGGAGCGCAGGCAGCGACTCGGGGAATCCGGAGGTTTTCTTCTTTTCAGAATGTCAGGTCGCGGTAAGATCGCGGGGACAGTGAGATAAACGGATGCTTCCAATTAGTAATCGACGTTTATGGACTTTTTGCGTCGCCATTTTAATTGATTCGCGAGCCTCGGTTCGCCGTTAAGGGTCTGTCGGGTGTTGTTAGTAATTTAATTTCGCCATTTTTATACCCGCGTTAGCTACTCGTTCCGTAGGCAATATCGTTTCGAGAACTGGTTTACCGCGTAAAAATAGTATTACTTACTGTTACCTTGAATTATCGGCTGGCCCTTTTATTGTACCTCTTGCATAATAGTCCTAATAGGGTACATTTTCATCCGGGCGACATGTTCGCGTGGACTCGCCGGTAAATACGAAAGCTTTTCAATTACGATCCGATGTCTGGAAAGATTCGAAATTTACAATTTTCAATTAGAACGAGTCTAAGAACGAATTCGATATGCGAGAAATATCTACCGAGTCTTGCAACGCATAAATACACGATTGGAATTGCATACAGGGTGATCCTAGCAATTGGACATGCCGATTCATAGCGATGATAACAATTAAAAATTCTTTCTTGCCTAACCTTTTCCTCTAGAGGATCTGCGTTATCTTTTAATCTCCTTTGGTATAATATATCATCGTTCTGTACGTTATTCGACAAAATTCCGTAATAAAAGTATTAATTGCATCAACTATAACTCGTTTGTCGCGTTATTGCTATTCCTCGGCGTCACGATCCGTGAACCCCGGCAAGGAGTAGGTGATTTCTCAGAAAACTTTTTGTAAGTTGATACCCTCGATCGATTTAGAACCAAATGCCGATACGAGGGTAACAAATGTCCTGGAAGTTTCGAATTTTTCCTTAACCGATAATAACTGGAAATCGCCCGCTAGAACTCGCACCCATTCATCTTTTAATAGAATCAATTCGCCGTAACGAGATTATTTCTAAATAAAGACAAGATAGTTTTGTATGCTGCAAATGTAGAGATGATCGATCAATCATCGCAAATTATAAATAGGCAGGCCGAGTTTGTAATTTCGCTGGAAGTGGTCGAGGCCAATGGCTCGTTGCAAAATTATTATAAATTCTTCTCAACGACGAGTGATATATTATCGGACCGCGATCGGAATATAAATAAGATTGATGTAACTAGTGCTAATTACTGACACTAGTTGCCACGATTATTTTATTGGGCGCGTGTAAACGATCCGCGTCATTTTAAGCGAGAAAATTAAAGCGCTATGTCGACAGGAAGCCGGAAATTGAAATCATTTGTAAACTTATTATTACGACCGTGTACTTACGTACATTGTCGTTACACGATTATCCGCCGAGACGTTTTCTAACAAGAACCTTACATATCAAAATCCACGTTATAACTAGACACGACCGAGGCAGAAATAGAGCTCATGCAAATTTCCTCGATTATAATTAGAATAAAACGAAATATCAAACGCGAAAGTTTTAACAACTTAATGCATCGATTTATCATACACCGATACCATAACTGTAAATTCTATTACGTTCGTGTAAAAACGGCGAAACTTAATCGCGAAACGCCACAATAAAGAACGCCTATTAAATCGCTTAAAATAACTGGAAAATGTAACGTTAATAACGCATTTTATATCACAATCACGTTATTAACTAGCTGGATCAGGAAAAAAAAGGGGAAGATTACGGTACCCAGTTCGAGTGAGTAATAACCCAGACGAGGAGACTTCGGTGTGTACCTGAAGTTCAAAATAAGCTGAACGTGGTTGCATATTTCTCGCCATAGAAATACCACGAAACATATTCATCTTTCAAGAATAAAGCCACTACTCTGCCGCCAGATGTGTTCATCTTTTATAGAACCAGTTGTTAAACCAAAGTATAAAGCTGTAGCTGAAACGAAGTTGGAGTTCGCTATCAACTCATTACGAGCGATAGCCCGTCCTTTCAGCAACAAGAAAGGGAAAAGATTGCAGAAGATTGTCTTGGCTTCTCGTTCCAGCGGCAGGGTGCATTTATAAATAATGTAACCACAAGGAAGAAAGCAGGTAGTCCCGGTTAATAAACGTCAACGTGGCTACTAGAGTAACCGGTAGTAAGAGTGCGCGTACATTAGCCCGCATAATTTTAGCACTCCGCGCCGCTTGAACGGAACTCTTGCTCGTTGCGTCACAGCATATCGTGGGTGAAGATGGCACCGTTTCGTTACATAACGCCCTTCGAACGTTGTCTTTGCTTTATACGCAACTCTATTTTCGTCCAACAAATTTTACGCCGTCGAACCACCGCTATTTCCCTCTGTCCGCTCTCTTGCTCCGTCAACTGCGCGATCATTGAACCGACCGTCGGAAAATCAACGGAGATCCTGTTGATCTTGCTCGCTGTTGCGAAGACCCGCATTTTCATCTCACGGATTTATACGCTCGCAAATTAAGCCGAATGATTTTCGCCGCGACGCGAGGAATTTCGGACAAACAATTCGGAGGGTAATTGGTACCGGTGGTAAATAGATGTGGAACGATGGAGTGCTTTTATAATTAGGAGGAATGGATCGCGTAGGAACAAATGATGGAGGAGGCTCGAGAAGTTGGACAATCGCGAACTGTTTTGTGCAGATAAGTTGTACGATTGACTGTGATTAATGTAGTTTTCAGTTCGGTGTAATAGTTTAGAGCGTATTGTCTCGTGTTGAACACGTTGTATTAATTCGTAATGAAATATAGGTACTTTCGTTATTACTCATTGTAACGTGGTGGAAAATATTCATTTCATTTCTGTACGATCTTCGTCATTATAGTCATGATTGATAACTTGTCTTGATAAATGCTTTAAAACGATATAAAAAAATATGTAGCATACCATTTAAAGAATCGAATTATTTTGAGAATTTCTCTTTCGTTTTTTATCACTGTATGTGTGTAATTTGTGTAATTAAAGATTTGTCGTTGTCGAATTCGTGGTCATTAATTAGATTGCGTTATCTTGCTCCGGAAATCGATATGAACTACAATTGCACGAGGATTACTTCTACAAAGATGTCTTTATTAACACATTTGAAATTGTAAACAATATTGTATATCGAAAAAAGCAATTGTTTGCATATTTTTAAGAAAATAAAAATATTGTACAAAAGTAGAATTTATTTATCTTAAAAAATAAATTAGATAACGAGAAAATTTATTAATCTGTTATATTTCGGAACATCAATGTATCTGGTCTAATAATCAGATAATTATACAAACAATTCTTCGATTATTTCGACTAACGCGTTATACGTGTTTCGTAGTACGCGCGGAAGAATTTACCGACAGCGCAAGGCGCATGCGCGCGTTGTCATCCGCATTAAACATGGCGAGTGTAGTGAGGTTGTCACGTCGTGCGTCGTCGTCTTCCCGGCATTTTTGTGGTGTCACGCGTTCTTACAATTCGTGGTACAGTAACAGTGAAGTGAAGAAATGGAAATACAGCGGTAGATTGCTTGCTGCAGTTTCTATCGGGTTTTTCGTTGGCTACAAATATTTGCAACCTGAAATAGTATACGCCAAGGCTCGAAAGGTATGTAAATACAGATTATTTCTTTCTCATACCGTACAAATAATGTTTGTCCTTTTCATGATACATGGCGTTTGGGACGTAAAAGTTATCGATTAATGATATATATATGATGGAAACAGTGTTAGACGACAGAAATATATTTAAAGGAATAGACGATATTCGTCTAGTTAATTTTGTCGATACATTGTTCCTAGATGTTCCTCGATGATTGTTTTGACATTGACAGTAAATGAAATGGATTCAACTTAATTAGATTTTATTGCGTAATTCATGTGGCCCTCGGTGAGAAGAAATATTACACCAGACGTCACTGACGTGTGAGTTTACGGGTTATAGGTTAGAATTCGATTCTGTTTATAAAAGGAAGGAATTGTGATTATGAAGATAACAAAACTTTACTGTGCAAATATACTATGCATCGCTTGCTCCACACTCGAGCCATTTAAATCTCAGTGAAAGTAAATACACGATAAAAATTTGATAATTTAATTTCTAACGTGTAAATTTCTTTATATAATGGACGTAGGTTAGAAAATTCTATAAATAATACATTACGTAAAAATAAATACAAGAAAATTTTATTTGAGTCACTTTTTATATATTCAAATATTTTATATATTCAAATATTTTATATTTGAAGGAATATTTTCAAAAATGTACATACATTATACTTGAATTAATAAAATCGAAATAAAGATATTTCTAATATTATATGTTTTAATTCTAGTTAAAAGAAGAAATTTATTATTTATGACTGCATAAATGAATTTAAATAAAAATCATTACAAAGATTATACAATGAAATAAGGACTTGTTAAATCTACCATAGAGAAATTGTACTCTTGGACCTGCAGGTATTTTCAACAACATATTTTCTGTTTTTATAATTTAACTGTAGTTAAATATAATAAGTAAATCATTGTTCAAATGTAGGTAGATGGCATATCACGCTTTAAAATGTTGAATATCAACTCACTGGAACCATAAGATACCACATGTTTAAATGTCAAAAAATGTCAAGCTCGGTATCTGGTATCTGAATTACCATATCATTTTTCTATCATCTTTTTCTATCGATACCTTACTATATTTATAACGCAATTAACGTTCAGTCATAGCCTCGGGCCATTATTCTACAACACGAACAACAAACCACGATCGCATAGCTCGATAACCCAAGTAGTCGAACACGTTTTTAAAAATACAAACTCACTGACAGTAGCCTATATTCAGCCTATATGTGCCACAGTACTCCACTTCGAACTCCATTTCATCCACATCACGATGCCCTATTAATTACCAACCTAACGAAAGCATATACACAAATCTGATTCACAAGGAATCCTCTATATACAATTTCGATCCTCGACATACCTCTAGTCAGACCGCAGTACCGTTTCGCAGCGCCACCATAGCAAGTGTTCTCCGTGCCTGACCAGCCCTAGGTAATCTCATATAGATCCAAATTTGAAATCTCCGGTAAAGCAATGACGACGGTCACGCAAACCAGAGGATAACCTGTTAACGTGTTGTGTAACATGTTCCTTCGCGGACACGGATCGTCCTTCGGTCTAGCAGAACAAGTGCAGATCTCGGGGAGATGTGGGCTCGATCCGTGGTTGCACGGCCACAAATCACTGGTCCGATGCAGCATCCTGTGGCTAAGCCAGGACTGGCAGCTGTTATCGCCTCCGAGATTCGACCGCATCGTTTATCCTCGATCCTGCTCGCGGCCGTCTCAACATCGTGATGCACAACGATCGACGGATACGCTATCTGGTGATAACACCGAACATGGGTCCAGGAGATGTGGGTAAGCAACGCGCGAACGGTATCATCGGAGCAAGTGATGATAGTAACACGGACGCTTCATCGTGAAACCGTTAGCGACTTCTAGACTCTCTTCCTAATTAAACCTATTTACATATCGCGCGTTACTCGAGTCTCTAACTGACCGATCGATACGCGAGTAGCTCTGAGAACTTCATTCAGTGGGTCGATGTAGTGCGACCTAGCGATGTAGCGAAGCTTACCCAAGTCCTGAGACTCAGCCACGTGTAATCGAGACGCGATCGATGGCCCAAACTGACCGATCTAAACAGACCTAACCGAGAGCCCTGAGTAATCGCTACGTGATCGGTGACCAACCTGACCCATCTAAACGTCAGGACCTGGCTGAAAACTCAATCTAGTTGGCCAATACGATGCGATCAATCGACGTAGCGAAGTTTATGCGAGTCCTGAGACCTAGCCACGAGTGATCGGAACATGATCGAAGACGCGATCTACGACCAAACTGACCGATCGAAACAAATGGGCATAGTTGAGAACTCAATTCAGTGGGCCGGCAAGGCACGATCTATCGACATAGCGAAACTGATCTAGGTCTGGTACGAGGTTAGCCGAAGGTGATACGGATAATACGTGACTACCATCGGGATTTATACACGTTTCGTGCAGAACGCGACTGGAATTAGGAGTCAAAGAGGGTGTAAATCATGATTTTTCGAACGATAAACCTTGCTATGCTGTCGAACGTGTATCGCGGAACACAGCTGGCCTGAGCCACGATTATTCGCGAGCCTGGCATACTATTTGCTCTCCCCCTTCCCCCGAGGCTCTACGTTGATACGATTGCGCTACTTGCTGCTGGCAGGGAATCGATTATTAAAAGATGCAATGAATAATAAAAAGGGAGATAGAGTCGGTCGGAGGAGACACGATCTACTAAGAGGCCGATTATCCAGTCGAAACCAATTACGGAGTTTTTGAAACACGAAAAGGGATATTTTAATGCGGCCTGGTGTTTCTTCGCAACTCGCAATCTGCAATAAAAAGAATCCATCCTTCATCGCCCTTTTTCCGTCCCTTTTTTCGCTTCAGCAACCCTTGTTGCCGTACTTTCGTCGATTTCTTTGGAAAAAGTGCGGGATAAATGCCTGCGAGATTCGTTATTAGATCAAATTGATTTACAAGTGCACAGAGTATTTTCAATGTGCAATTTTAGTTACTAAGAGAAAAAAATAGAGGAATTTACGATATCGATGGTTTCATTCGTGTTGGTTGCGACGATGTCGTAAAATTATCGGAGATAGGAATTTAATGACGTTAGCTCCTGAGCTGTTCATTTTGCAAAGTCTTTTTAGCTGAGTGATTTAAATTGGTCGATTTAAGAACCTCGTTGACAGGAAACAAAATTCTATCAGCGAAGCTGTATTAATATTACAGGTGTCGTATCAGTAAAAATTACTGGTTTCGCGCGTTTCGTTTTTGCTGCTGCGAAAGATACGCCGCTCTTTCTGATGAAATTAATAGTAACTTTCACCGAGATAAATATGCAATTACACAGACACGTTTCAACTTTTCGTATCAGCTGATTTATCACTGGGAGTAGGTCTGAACTTAATTTTTGAATTCTCAAAACGCTGTCAGGTTTCGAAACTTGGGGTACTGATCTTTGTTTTCAATCTATATTTCAAGTATTCCAAATCTCTAAAATGGCGTGAAATTACTGTTTCTCGAAACTCGAAAGTTTCTTCGGTTCCAGAAAGTGTTATCTTCCTAGTTTCTATACAAATATAGGATATCCAGCATTGCGGATTATTAATCCTAACGCGAAGATAAACTAGATCTATCACGAATAATAAACGAAAGCTTTGTCTATCGTGGTGACATCGATCAGACACAGTTTCGACTACTTTCATTATCGATATAAAATAGAATCCGCGATTATCTTTATCGCCGCGTTCCATGGCAGTTTACTACCATCCTACGCTAATCGTTGCAATATTTCCAACGCGGCTCATGTATGGAATCGGTAGAACTGGTAACAGTGAAACTAGTACCCCCTCGAAGAACCTGCCAGCATTTGCACGGAGCATTGTTTTATCAAGCGATATCTTTGAGGAAGATTTGTCGCTGAAACGACCGTGTCACGTTACCATGTGGAACTGGTACTGCAGCTTAAACGTGGAATAAAACGTTATACAATAACGCGGACTTCTGTAGAAATGGGCCAGGTATCCCCGACGGGGACTACATCGGATCGAATCGAATGCTATGGACTCGTTATCTTCTTGTTCTTCGTCGAACAAGCGAACCATCTGATAGGAGAGAACAGTCATAAATAGGGCCTTAAACCCCATAAAGTGAAATTCCGCGAGGTCTGCGCTGCACTCTGGAGCCGTAGACATGGTCGTATAATTGGAATTCGTTTATCAGATGAACCATTATGAGCCGTTGTAATGGATAACCACGCGTTTACTCGCTAGGCTAAACCTGATTTCCCTCGCGATCCTGTGTGATGTAATCTCTTAATTTTGAGACCTCGTCGTCCCTCCGTTCTATCGTATATTTGCGCTGATCGCAGGCTCCATTTCGCAAAATTGTCTGAAACGTTGTTAATTGAAAATAACTCTTCGAAGGGAGGCACCTGGCTGATTTGTGTAGCGTTAAGAGCTACCTGATGGTAGATGAACGAGGTCATACAGGATCTGTAAGTGAATTAACATGATATCGAAGAATGGAAGTAGTGTAGTATACATCGTGGCATGGGAAACAAGAGGAATCTTATATTGAGAAAAATGGAAGTTATGGAAACTTCTAGGGAATTGAATAGGCGAGAAGTGAACAGGGTACAGTATGGCGTGAGTGACTTATCTAAAATGAAATATCCGCCAATCTGGAAAGAAAGACAATAAACCGGGAAAGTAGTATAACTTGTAAAAATATTTATTTCAAATATTCTCGGAAACAAGAATTCCGAGAAATTCAAATTAAAATGGATATCGAAGCAGTGAAATTTAAATATATTCAGTAGATATGAGGAATTATCGGAGTAATGTAATTTAAACAGAAAATATTTTTACGAATAATATGTTAGCAAACATTCTAAATATTTATATAGTTATTTTTCTTACTTTTTGTATAATACTTCATTTTAGTAAAAAAGAATCGTGATTTTTAGATTTTTCAGAAACCGAGGGTGATGGAGCAATTTC